CACTAGAGTTTACGGTGCGTCAAATACAGGTACGCTGCGCATCCATTCAGATGAATTGAAAAATAGCACAGATCGCTTGATGGAGAGTGAAATTCTGAAGCGCTCAGTCAGAGTGTCCGGCAAGTGAAAATATATCTGTGCTAAGCTTATACTTAGCCTCCAACTCACACACTGGCGAGTAAAATCTGAGAATTTATTAGCCAGTGGCTAATATTAGACATCATTTAGTCGCCCAGAGTGAAGATTTTGTCGCATATGCAAGTGATTTACTCGCAATGTAGAGGGTTGATACTACTACCACTACTACTACTACTACTACTACTAATTTTAAAAAGAAAAAGTGGTGATTTACCATAACTGGTTTAGTCAGTGTGACTGTAAAGAGGAAAGATATGCGTGTTTTCTGGAGCACAGAACCATTTAACCTAGCTCATTCTTTAGGGATCTATTACTAAGGACAGCGGAAGGTTACGTGTAAATGGGCTACGTGTGGAGAGGGGAATTTAGCTCAAAAAGGAACAGTCAAAAAAGGAGGCCATTAACATTCAAAAGCAAAAGATGCTACGACATACCCTTGCTGACATAAAAGAGAAAAACTGTTCCCTGAGGTTCTATATAAAAGTCATAGAAAAAGGCTTTGAAGGAGAGGAGGTGGTTCAAGACCTGTATTTAGGCGCAGAGGGGCTGCAAAGGTCAGAAGAAGCTGCACGAATTTCAACAAACCCATTCGTGTGCACCAGAAAGAGGCACCTTCCAGAATTTCTGCCAACATGCATCCACCTCCACACTCTCTCTTTTCATTATCTTTATTATACACCTCCAATTTCACAAACACATCAGTATTCAAAACCGTCATCTGGACCCCGGGGACGCCACAGGAAGCGCAGCAGAACATCAAAGTGCTACCTGCGCCAGCAAATCCATCATCATAGTCAAAGAGGGGCATTCCTTTCTGAGCAGAGTCCAACATGCGACGGGAGCAGCAGGCATTGACGCTCTATCAATCACACAGCCACCATCATCTCCTGCACAGTCCAAAGGTGAGCGGACATCAACGGCCACGCATCTGATTACAATCCACAGACCGCTGCAGATAATGGCCACAGAGACATGCTCGGACAAAACAAAGGAGCGGTGCAGCTGCGAAGCCACATCGGCCTGTGAATTAAAACCATGGAGGACACATTCCAGGGATACTCTGAATCTTGTCTAAAATAAACAGAGACGAGGTTCAAACCGTCACACAAGGCTCCACTGTTGTGGAACACCTCGTCCTCGCAAAGACCTCATTCGCATAAATTGCGTATTTTAAAGTTAACCGACACGCAGAGTTATCGTGCAAATACCCGCTACATATACGAAACAATCTGAAACATTTCACAGTTCTCTGCGATTCATGTTTATTAATTGAACTTCAAAGATAAATCAGACAGCACAGCAGCGTTTTTTCCCTCTGATTATGGAGTATTTGCAATCCGCAGCGGAGAGAGTGTGCGGCGTACCTGATTGTTTCGCAAGTTTCGTGTAAAAATAGCCAAATTCCACAGCTGCTACTTCGACTTCCTTTAGTTAATAAGAGCCAGGTGCACCCTTCAGAATAAACAGGCATGTTCAAATATTTTCACAGGCTGCGGAGACAGAGTACACTTCAATGTCAGCTATTCATCGCATTTCTACGCAGGCAGAGCAAGGCAGGCTTGCTATGATCTGTGCCAAGGTTTTAGACAATTCATCTGTACTCTCTCTGTGGGGACTTGAAACAAAGGCCTATGGGTACAAGGCCCTTCAACAAACCTTGTTAATAATCCACCCACGCCCTTTTACAGAGCTAGCATTGCTTTTCTTTCGATTGTTTGGTATACATGTGAACCATTTTGAGAGCTGAAATCTCGGTCTTCTCAAAATGGCAGGGGCTGGAACGGCTTCAGTGCCGAATGAATCATCTTGCTTGAGCGTGCAAGTTTGAAGTTAGAGCACAGATAAGGGCTTGACTTTACACACTGGATGAGGTGAGGAGGAGAGAATATGAAGGAAATGTGTAATGCAACTGCAAGGCAAAATAAAGATCTCAAAACTCAGGGCTCAACAAGGAGAGTGGTTTTGTGGACCGCTGAGTTTTGGGCCAGCTGATGTAACACTGCACTGATACTAAAGCTTACATTGGTTGATTGTATACATGTATTGCGCAAACTGAAATATCTGCCCATAACGTTATCTATAAGGTAATGTTATCTAGCTAATATGAGCCAGGTTTTATCTGCATATTTTATGTGAGTTTAAGGAAATGCTGGATGGAAACAACAAGATAAATAAATTCTCTAATGTGCATAAAGATTTGCTTGTGAATGAATGAATAAATAACAGTTAATTTATTTATTCACTCTGTAAGATGGCATGCACATAAACTATGGTGCTTTATTATTTATGTTTTTATGACATTCAGATTTTTTAACCTGAGTGGAAACTACAGATATAGAGGAGTTTTAAAAAAATAATGATTTGCAAGAATGATTTGTGATAGCTTTGGAAGCATTGGTTAAAATGGATTAAAAAAATAAATCATTAATCATTATATGCCATTGCTGCCACAGTGTTTCATTATATTGTATAATTCCAGATCCACATTTTATTGCCATTTATACACTTAAATTTAATGGTTTAAAAAGGGTACACTACTGTTCAAAAGTTTAGAATCAGTAAGATTTTTTTTCCAAGTTATATTTATGGGCTTTTATGTCTTTATTGTGAGAGGACAGTGGAAAGCTGACAGGAAAGCACTGGGAGGAGAGAAGGGAGCAGGATCGGCAAAGGACCTCGAGGCGGGATTCGAACTCGGGTCGCCGTGAGCGCAGTTGCGCTATATGTCAACGCACTAACCACAAGGCTACACAGTACGATTTTTAAAAAATAAATTAATACTTTTATCATCAAGGACACAAATTGATCAAAAGTGACAGTAAATAAGTTTATAAAGTTACAAAATATTTATATTTCAAATAAATGCTGTTCTTTTGAACTTTCTATTTATCAAAGAACCCTGAAGAAAATGTATCACTGTTTCCACAAAAATATTAGCCTAATCAGTTTCTCTAATGTCTCTCTAGTTCTTATTAACACTGATAAGAAATGTTTTTGAGCAGCAAATCAGCATACTAGAATGATTTCTGAAGGATCATGTGACACTGAAGACTGGAGTAATGATGTAAGCTCTGTCAAATCTCTTAGATATTGACGATTGACCGACACAAGCTATTTTAAGAAAGGAATTGGTTACAATTACGTTGCAGCAGAGCGGCTGTCAGATGTGGCCTATTCTACATTAGGATTGCAGGGACGAAATTGATTTTTTATTGTCTTTTCTAGTCGTTGCACACCATTCACACAAATCTAGTTTATTGACTTCAAAAGAGAGAGAGAGAGGGTAATCCATCGTAGACATCAGACATGACTGCATATTACACATCACCGGCCGACAGCCTTAACCAGCCACACACACTCGCTTATCAAAAACAATACTTAAATCATTTTTAAAAAATGTTATTTTAAATGGTAATATTATACTATTTTTACTGTATTTTGATCAAAATCTTGTGTGATTTGAACTACGGTACTAACTAGTACAGACAAAAAATTTGAGCCCTTATAAGCTACTTCAAGCCAAGGCTCTGTATCTAAAGACAGCAATACAATATAATATACACAGCACTGTTATACAAAGAACTGCAGCACTAATATATATATATATATATATATATATATATATATATATTAAGCTCTGTCAAATCTCTTAGATATTGACGATTGACCGACACAAGCTATTTTAAGAAAGGAATTGGTTACAATTACGTTGCAGCAGAGCGGCTGTCAGATGTGGCCTATTCTACATTAGGATTGCAGGGACGAAATTGATTTTTTATTGTCTTTTCTAGTCGTTGCACACCATTCACACAAATCTAGTTTATTGACTTCAAAAGAGAGAGAGAGAGGGTAATCCATCGTAGACATCAGACATGACTGCATATTACACATCACCGGCCGACAGCCTTAACCAGCCACACACACTCGCTTATCAAAAACAATACTGCACCTTTATCTGCTCAAGCACAGTCCACAGCACATGCTAGTACTTCCAATACCAAGTCGATTTCCATTAACTTCAAATATAAAGCCACCTAAAAGTCCCTGTGGGTCATATAGTGGACGGTGTTTTTTCCATTAGCCCGTCCACCCGGTCCTGCCTGTCACCCAGACCTCTGACTACAGCCTTTGTCTGAGTTCACTGATCTGCCAACAAACGTAATCGTTAAACCCAATACATTCAGGCTGCCTCGTGCAAATGCAGGTCTCACTTCGTTTTAAGCACTGACATGCTGCGACGTTTCTCCCCATTTCTCGCAGGACACATATGGCGCTTTTCCACTGCGTGGTACAACTCGGCATGGCTCAGTACGGCACGGCTCGGCTCGGTTTGCGTTTCCACTGCAGTTTAGTATTGCTTTAGAGTGGGCAGGATTATTCACATGTCTTTATAGTTGCACCGCCTCTACTGCTGCGACTCCTGAAAAAGTTTTCATTCCACGTCGCCCCATCAAGCTCTCGCTGGATCCGCTCCTCTGCTATCGACGAGAGGAACGTCTGTACTTCCTCAACAGACAATGAAACAGCCACTTTTTGGTTGTTAAAAAAAGGTGCGCTCGTTCAAAACAGTTGCATTCGATCCTTCGCTGGCTGTGCTGATTTAAAACAAGCGGTTCTGTTGTGTTTGTGTCGCAAGTTCAGTGACACAGGTAGTGACGATTCTCTCCGGCCAATCAGTGATCAGAAGAGTTTAACGTCACGTTTTGGTACCGGTACGGTTAACTTGGAACCTCAACCGAGGTGGTACTAAAAAAAGTACCAGGTACCAGGTATTGTACCCAGTGGAAAACCCCCCAAAAGTGAACCGTACCGTGCCGTACCATGCAGTGGATAAGCGCCAATAGAAAGGCTGCGATTCTTACCTTCATGAGGGTGAGATGCCCAGAGCTGGGCCATTTGCAGGCTGGCTGAGTTTGGGGCTCGGAAGGCCGGATCCGACGACCCGTGAGCACTGGAGGCGCTGATGTATCCGCTGAGGAATGGGCTAGAGGCACCTGGGAAGGCATCACCTGCGAAAGAGAGGATCAAACGTTTGCTTATGAAGTCCGTAAGCGCTGTCATTTGATATGATGACATTCCACTCAGGAGAATAGCCTTGGCAAAAGTGGAATGATTAGTCTGTGAAGCTCTGCGGTTTTCTTTTGAAATTCAGGAACCGCAAACCTGTTTTTATTGCCAGACGGCCTTTTAATTCCCTTCAAAAGAAGAATGTTTACCGAGAGGCACAGAAAGACCACAAACACAAATTGCTTTTGCTTGTAAACAAATGTCATGAATAATTATTACTCATCCTAAATGTTATGTTAACTGTCATTACAATAGCCACCAGATGTGCAGCTTCAAAAGGGGGAATTGTCTAAATAAAAGCATGTTTTCATTTTGCCAGCTTTGACATCTGAGCGAGACGCAGAGACACGTATGCTATTCGGTCCGCTGCCTCCTCAGAGCTTTTAAAGTCAAACTGATAAAAACAACAGTGATAGAATCTGCAGAAACGTTTACAAATGTTGGCCGGGTCTATAACGACTTTGGACGGGTCACTGAAAATCCACGGGAACGGATACGTGCTTGAAGTGTCACCCTAGCGCGGGATATTGCTTGCATTTAAAATCAACAAAGGTCCATCTATACGCCACACTATCTATTCAAGCATGACGTATAAACAGGGACGGCCGTGGAAATTAATGAGCCCTTCCCCCCAATTCCTCTGATACGACTGCTCTTCGTTCCCACATGCCTTTCCTCAATCCAGCATGGGAGGAGCACTTCACACTTATTACTCAAACCAGAGATGGATTCGGACACACTTTCACAGATACAGACACACACACACACACACAGCACTCCTGTGCCGCAGACACCTTGGCACAATGGGTCCATTTTTTGCATGTGTAAATAGTGCATTAGCATGACAAGAGGAGGAGGAACAACAAGGCATCAACGGCAACATGAGCCTTTTTTAGTAGAGGTTAGCATGCGATTAACCTAGGAGGGAAGCAGTCTTGCTCTGCTGATGAACCGTTGGGCCATTGTATTGCACATCGCTAACAGCAGATGTGAACCCTTTGGACTACATCTAAACATTAACCACAGGACAGATTAGACCTCTGGATGGGGTGCAAATGGAGGAGAGGAGATAGCAGAGCATGAGGAGATCCATATTTGGGAGACTTGGTAGGTTATTCTGCAGTATGCAAGATGAACACCAGAATCTATAGTGTTTGCAATAACAGACATTTATTTCCTTGAGAAGAAAAATAATCAATTATTACGAAAAGTTCTTCTAAATGAAGGATTGCAAAACCACTGGGCTCGTAACTCTAGATCTATTGACTTGGCCAGGGGTGTGACTCATAAGCCTTTTCTTCAAACACACAGCAAGGGCACTGCCTCATTCATCTGAACAGAAGATCTGGACTATTGTAGGGGTCACATGGCAAGAAGCTATGTTTTTTTTAGACAATTTGAGTCCAGTCCTATAACGTAAAGAATGAGACATTTAGGAGACACATCTAATCCAAAGCAAAGGATGGTACATTTTTACTACAGGGTCATCCTCTCCTCAGGAGTGCAATGGTTACTGGGTAACTCAGCAGCTGTCCAGTTTATGGTTCACTCCTTATGTTGTTTTAATGTAGAACCTTTAGGGTTACTCTTTAACCACTACGCCAACACAACTTTGTGAAATGTATACTTGTTCATCAAGTATCTTATTTCAAAATAACAAGTGTTTATATTGAGTTGGGCAAATATGAAACTGGGTCACAATTCAGTCAGAAATTATTTTGAAGTTATTCATAATTATTTCCAAAAATATGCTGAGGACTGCAACTGGAGAGTTTCTTGAGAAGTCTCAAGAACTGAATTTTTGCATTGGAATTTACATTTGAAAAAAAAAATTTTCAGGCTCCTATATTTAGGTTCAGTAATTTTACTTTAACAGCAAAAAAGGGTTATAAGTGAGTTATTGAATGCCTTGCTTTTAAAAATGCCCAATGTTATTTTCATAGGAGCCCGATAAAAAGTAGAAGAAAAATCTCAGATGTACTTAGAGGTTTTTGCAATGAGGTCTTAATTTATTACTGATCCAATAGAAAATGGGTAATATGAAGTCTGCAAAGTAACACAAACAAACAGATATTTGGTAGACTGTCTATTAAATATGCATAACAGACTTGTATACCATGTGGAATTTATTGAACCAAAAATGGCCATCTTTTAAATCAAGAAGGCTTAAAGAATAACAACTACACATTAATGGAATGGAACTCATGATGAACAAATAATCAAGACATGCATTAGGGCACACTTCTAAGTTTATTCTCCACAAAATGCATTTGAAAAAAAAGAAATCTTAATTATCGGATCGATGAAAAGGAATGCATTTTTGCATGCCTAGTCCCTATTTGATGTTGCAATGAGATTTGGATCTATTCAGCCCAAGAACATTAATGTCAGGCATTGATATCAGACAGTTAGACTAGCTGACATTCAGCTTCATCCCAAGTAGTAGTATATATTTATTTAATGCCATGTCAGCATCTAAGGCTATTTTCATGGCAAAAACAATTAAAAAATACAAGTATAACAAATACAATAAAAACCAGGGAACAAACAAACAAGTTATATTACACAAGATTTTTTGCATGAACATATGATAAAAATTCTAAAACGTTTTCTGCCAAAATTATACTAAATAAATCTTTAAGCGAGTTCACTTCATAAAAGAGTTTTCTACATACATTAAAAGCTGGGCAGTCCAATAAAATATGTTTGACAGAAAGGGGAATCTTGCAGAACATGCATTAGGGTCTTCCAGCTTAATCCCAAAGGTGTTCATTCAGGTTGATTTCAATGCTCTGTGCAGGTCAGTCAAGTTATACAATTCCCATCTCATTTCTGCATTGGCTATTTTTTGTGCATGTGTGTATAGACGTATTAAAACAGGAAAGGGCCTTGCCTAAACTCTTTCAAAAAGTCTGAAACATCTTTGTGTTTCCTTTCCATATTCGAGAGCATGAGGACAAAACTGAAATGTGACTATTTTAAAGAGGTGGTATCCTGTGATGGCTCCACATCACATCCTAAAGCTTCTCAATATGGTCCATTTTACTCTCATTGTTTATCTATGGCTGTGTACTTCGATTTTGGGTGTGGCTGGAATGACTGAATCACAAGTTTGTCCAGACATTTGGCCATGTACAGTAAACATTCTTGCATATTATCGAGTTTTGGCTGAGAACAAGTTTTCTTTCGGCGTTTCTGTAGGGTGAACGCTCCACTCGAAAAGGAATCACAGTGATGTCTGCACCACAGCCTGTAACATAAGCAGCAGCTACTGTCAAATAAATAAAACTAAACCTCAAAGCCAGCATCATGTCTGCGTGCAGTTTCCGAGCGCAGTGTGAGAACCACAACACAACAGCAACCAAAAACTGTTGCCCTGATCAGTGCCACAAGATCGTTTACCTAGAAGTACGTCCAAGAAGGTCTCAGTGGGAATTTACTAAGTCAGTTGTTTCACATTATCTCTGAAATATTCATATCCCATCTGCAAACATTTCCCAGTGCCATATAATCCCTCTGAACCCAGAGTTTACAGGGCATGTTAATTGTTTCCAATCACTCAGCTTTATAGCGCTCACAGTCATCATCTCAGATGCATGAAGAAAAACACAAGAAGTTCAGTAGGTCAGAAATAGTTCAATTCCTTAACATGCAAGTTTTTTTTCAGAAGGATTCGACTATTTTCCTCCTCCAAAAGAAATGGCCACTGTCAGAGACCAGCTGAATAGGACACAGGAATTTCCTAATTGCTTATGTTGCTCAACTTGTCTGCAACCCAACAGGCCTTGCGGTGAGCTTTCGCAATTCCCCATACCAACACCTCTTATAATTAAAGCCAGACCCTTAAAAACAATTCAGAAAGAACTGTTGTAAATTAGAGAAAAGAGAGACACTAATTAGAATAAGGTCTTAAACTGAGGCAAAGAAAATGGGACCATTAAAATACTCAGAGCCACTCTTAACTGGTCCTTCAAAGCCCACCACCTGCTCTGAAAAACATAAAGAGCACTCCCACACGACAATAGACGACATGATAGACATTACAATGCTGTAGACGTAAAGCATGCTCAGCAGACCAATTCACACATCAAGGGGAAACTGGATTTAATGTCACTTAAAGCAAAGACCATGACGGAATTACACAAGAATGCAAAGCATTGCGGTGAACATGCAAAAACAAAAACAAAAAAAAAGAAATTTTAATGGTGAAATGCACAAAGTTAAAGTACATTCTTTCCTACCTAAAATCAAAATTATATAAGGCCCCCCTCATACATTTTTTTTTCTTAGCATGATAAGCAGTTCCACTTGGAAATATGTTTGTCGCGATTTATATGTCACGCTGATTTTTCATGTGCAGACACTACTATATTTAAAAACAATACTAAAACTAAGTAGAGCAACAGGCAACAATCAGTCTAAAATAGCAATATTGTTTCAATCAATGGTAACATCTGTTTGTCGACCAAAAGCAGACACTAAAGTATATTTTTATCATACCCACACTAAACGCTGATATCTTATAATATCATCTTCCACTTAAAGGGGTCATATGATGCGATTTCAATTTTTCCTTTCTCTTTGGAGTGTTACAAGCTCTTGGTGCATAAAGAAGATCTGTAAAGTTGCAAAGACTAAAGTCTCAAATCCAAAGAGATATTCTTTATAAAAGTTAAGAGTCAGCCACACCTACCTAAAACGGCTCGTTCTAACACGCCCCCACATGTCTACGTCACGATGTGGGAAGATTTGCATAGCGCCGCCCAAATGTTCACGCAAAGAAAGAAGGTGTAACTTTGATTCTCACTGTAGTATTGTTGCTGCCGCCATATCATGGAGACGCTGTGTGTTTCGTTATGAAAGCAAACAGTTCAACCCAAATATTCAGATGTGTGCAGCACATTTTATGGAGAACGAGGACTGTTTCCTGGGAGAGTAGCCT